GGCCAGAGGGGCATTACAGTTATCCCCTGGGGTCTTCTTTCATCCTAATCACAGATCATGTACCCACTTTAACACATTGGATTCCTCTCTTCTGTGGCTTTGTGCAGAAGGTACTTTGTAGGGATTTGGGTGCAGGAGGGAGGGTAGCAGGGGACTTGCTGCTCTCTATATCACCATCCTTTACTAGTGGCACAGATATCAAAGCTGATATCCTAGCAAGAGTTAATGCTGCTTAAAACAGTATTAGCTCCCTCTGGGTGCCTTCTGCAGCTGCTATTTAGCATGCAGAAGGGGACCCTGCCAATGCGCGGCAGCCATGGTGCAGGGCAGAGGGGCAGCTAGCCTCGTGAACACTCCTGCCTTTAATCATCTGGTGGGTCCCTTCCCCACAGATATGTGGAACCTCACTTTCTCTGGATTCTTTCTCTGGATTCTCTGGATCTGTGGCACCTCACTTTCTCTGGAGTCTCCTTTTCTCTGGATTCTTCCCCCTTGAAGGGATAATTTAAGGAAACTCCAAAAGAGAGAAATTTCTGAGCTTCAGTTCATTTGCAAATTTGACACCATCAGCTCAGGATTAAACAAAGACTATGAATGGCTAGCCAACTACAAAAGCAGTGTCTCCTCCCTTGGTGTTCACACCTCAACTGCTAGAAGAGGACCTCATCCTCCCTGATTGAACTAACCTCGTTATCTCTAGACTGATTCTTGCCTGCATATTTATATCTGCCTCTGGAAATTTCCATTATATGCGTCTGACAAAGTGGGCATTCACCCACGAAAGCTTATGCTCCAATACATCTGTTAGTCTATAAGGTGCCACAGGACTCTTTTGTTGCATATTTCAAGGAACCACTCAAGGTGACACCCATCCAGTCACAGGGGGGAAAGGAAGGACACACCAACTCAAAATGGTACCAGACCTCGCCAGAACAACAGGTGCAAAACCTGCAAACATATCAATGCTACAATGATCAACGCCTCCCACAACACACCTTTCAAGATCCCTGGGTCCTATACATGCCTATCACCTCATCCAGTGAACTAAATGCCCCAATAACAACTATATGTGGGTGAAACCAGACAATCACTACACTCTTGAATGAACTCACACAGGGAAATGATAAAAGACAAAAACACCACATCACCTGTGGATGAACAGTTGTCACAAAGCGATCACTCTATATCTTACTTAGTCCTCATTTTCAAAGGAAACTGGCACAACACTTTCAAAAGACGAGCCTGGGAGCTTAAATTCATAACTTTGCTAGACACTAAAAATGATGGACTGAATAGAGACACTGGATTTATGGCTTATTACAACAATCTGTGACCCACTAACAATGCCCCCTATGACTAGAATGGTCCTTGAAGTATGTGTTAACAACTTATGCTAAACAATCTATTCCACCTTGATTTAGCTGTGACACTCTGAGTATATTTTCCAGACCTGAAGAAGACCTCTGTGTAAGCTTGAAAGCTTGTCTTTTTCACCAACAGAGGTTGATCCAATAAAAGATATTGCCTCACCCACTGGTCCCTCTAAAGGATGGATATGTCATTATTATTTATATATTTGTATTGAAGTAGCACCAGTCAGGATTGGGGCTCCATTGTGTTAAGACTATAGACAGAGATGACATAAAAATAGCCCCTATCCCAAAGAATTTACAATCTAGCTAAATCCTTGTAGTAATCTAAGACAAGTCATTATAGCATCCAACCAGCAGCTGAGGGCCACATTAGAAATCAGAGACCTGCTGTGACAAGAGACAGGAATGACCAGGACAATGGAGAAATTTCAGTTTTCTCAGCCCTGCCTGAGAAGGAGCTAAGATTAGAGGTCAGATACAAGTTAAAGTATATTCCCATTCCTCCCTCCTTGAACTCACCCCCCCCCCCCGCCATAGGAAGTGAACATTCTGATTGCCACCAGTCCCCACACACATGGATTTCCTGCTTCTGATTTGTAAGTCACACAGAACCAAGCATTCCAATGCATTTTGGTTCCTTCTCTCTTCTGCAGTCTCTGCTGAGCCTAAGTATCAGGCAACCATAATACAACTTTATATACAACATCTTTCATTTTTTTTAACTGGTTCCAAAGAGCTTCACAGAATTAAACAATACAATTATAGCATTACTTTAGATAGAAAAGCAGAAGGATATTTTCCAGTGCAATCTGAAGTGTGATGAAGACTTGCTGAGGCAGAAGGACACACAAGAGTGTTCCAAGCATCAGGAACTGTGGAGGAAGCTTATGCACCCGCAGGGGAGAGATTATGTGGGAGCAGTGAGGGAAGTAGAAAGACAAGGTCAATGAGAGAGGCTGGAGTAACGTCATGAAGGGTTTTAAATCTAAGGATAGTTTTCAGTGGGACCTGGAGCATGCAGGCAGCAAATGGAGATGTTTGAGGATAAAAATGATATGGTCCTGCTTCTTTATAAATATGAATGTGGGCAACAGCATTCTGCACACACTGGAGTCCAGAGAGCTGGT